CCCTGAAACACCGTTGGTGTGAAAGGGGTATTAGACACAACCGTAATGAATAATTACAGGCCAATATCAAACCTTCCTTTTTTAAGCAAATTGATTGAAAAAGTTGTTTTTCAACAGTTGAGTCATTTCATGTTTTTAAATGACAGTTTTGATGGGTTTCAGTTGGGCTTTAGACCTAACCACAGCACTGAGACTTCACTTGTTAAGGTCTTAAATGACATTCATTTAAACACAGACCGTGGCAGAATATCAGTTTTAGTATTATTAGATCTCTGCGCTGCATTTGACACTGTTGACCACAACATATTGCTAGACCGTCTAGAAAACTGGGTGGGAGTTTCAGGAACAGCTCTAAATTGGTTTAGTACCTACTTAAAGGACAGAAAAAACATTGTCTCAATAGGCAACTACACATCAACTTTGACAAATATGTCATGCGGGGTTCCTCAAGGCTCCATCTTAGGACCTTTGCTTTTTAATATTTATATGCTACCTCTGGCTGAAATTATTAAAAAGAGCGATCTAAGCTATCACATCTATGCAGACGACACCCAGATTTATTTTAAAATCACACCAGGAGGAGACTATTCTCCGATTAGAACACTGAGCAAGTGCATTGAGCACATCACTGACTGGAGGACTCAGAACTTTCTCCAACTGAACAAACAAAAAACTGAGATCATTGTTTTTGGAGCAAAGAAGGACCGATTAAAAGTAATCGCAGAGCTTCAGTCGGCAGACTACAAAACCACTAATAAAGCCAGAAATCTAGGTGTAGTGATGGACTCAGACCTGAATTTCAACAGCCACATTACAACAGTCATTAGGTCTGCATACTATCACCTGAAGAATATATCGAGGATTAAAAAACTAATGTCACAACAGGACTTAGAAAAGCTTGTCCATGCTTTTATTTTCAGTGGTCTCGACTACTGCAATAGTGTCTTCACAGGGCTGACAAAAAAATCCATCAGAAAGCTGCAGCTGATACAGAACGCTGCTGCACAGTGTCCTCACTAACACTAAAAGAGTGGATCACATCAGTCCGGTTCTGAAATCTTTACATTGGCTTCCAGTCGGCCAACGAATTGATTTTAAAGTTCTATTGCTAGTTTTTAAATCATTACATGGTTTAGGACCAAAGTATATTGATGAACTCCTACATAATTACGAGCCATCAAGGTGCCTCAGGTCTTCTGGGACGGGTCTGCTATCGGTTCCGAGAGTAACAACAAAACATGGAGAGGCAGCATTTAGCTATTATGCCCCGACACTCTGGAACAAACTACCCCAATCATGCATGTCCGCAGAAACGCTTACTATTTTTAAATCGAGACTAAAAACATATCTCTTTGCCGCTGCTTTTAATTGAGCTGCTCATATTCGAACTACAGTATGCGTTTTAAACATGTATTGTATACCTGTGGTGTTTATTTTAATTATTTTATTATCTTTGCTTTGTAGTGCCTGTTGTACAATGCCATTATATAATGTGTTTTTACTGTATTTATTCCTAAAAAGTATTTTAATTTGTTTTGTAAAGCACTTTGAATTGTCGCGTACAGAAAAGTGCTATATAAATAAACTTGCCTTGCCTTGCCTTGCTGCCGTACTGTCATGTCTCTCCGCTCAGGGCTTATGGTCTGGCTTTATCCTAACAGTAATCCTAAAATCCTAAGTGAATGCTTGGAAATAATTTGGCTTTCACATCATAGCTGACTATGTTTTCACACTGTTGTGCTCACAACACACTCACCTGCAGTAAGTCAATAATCTCACATGATTTGAGGCACTTTGTTTTTTTTGTGTGGGATGCAAGTTGCGTTTTCGAGGACTGGCATGCTCGGAGGAAACAGCTATCCATATGCTTTGAGTATTCTGGTTGTTGTTTGCAGAGGTGTATTCAACAGCAGCTAAACAACCTTTGCCAATAGCCCACATCAGTTTTATTTGGAACATACTGCCAGTTGTACTGTTACAGCACCAGCTTCGTCAATACAACAGGAACAGCAATGTGTGTGGACTTGATGGACGCGAGACAGTTTACAATTTGTGATATGTCCTCCTAACTCTTTTTAAATAATCTGCAACAGCATATATTCTGCATCTATTACCTGTGGTTAAGAAACAAACATTTTTGTGTTTAAATACTTTTTCTGCAAAACTCTTTACAACCGCACTTCATTCTGCAGTTTAGAGGTATTTCATATATAAAACCACCGCCATCCTCTGCTGAGTTATAGAAGGTCGTTCGTGTAATTTGTTGCTCCTGCCTCACTCCTGAATCTTGTTCAGAAAACCAGGGGGCTAGACTCTGGTGAAAAAAAAAATAATTCTGTATTACCCTCCCTGAACCATCTCTTTTAAAAGAATGTGGTTACTATGGAAGTGCATTGCTTTAACCATGGAAACACATTTTGTATGCTATGTTGTAATTACGCACCCCATACCACCATCTGGTAATTACAAGATACATTTCTTAGAACTATAAGATAAGATAAGGATTGCATAATTATGTTACGGCATAATTACAAGATACAGCAGTCATAATGATTTCCTTTTTCTTTGGTGAATGCTATGCAATTTATGTAGGAATGGCAACAGATAAGTGCTGGTGTGCACTGGATTACATCCTGTCCAGGACCTTTTAATGAACTGAGATCCCTGCAGTCTTTTTTGTAAATAATCTTGTCAGATCATCCGTCAGTGACATCTACATTTAGGGTGCATTGTTGTGCATTTGTTAAAGAAAGCAAACTGGGAATTGTTATAGGGGTGTTGGAGAACAGAGTGAAACCAGATTTGCCGCATGAAACATGATGCTTTTTAATTCCTTTTTATTTGGTACTATAATAGTTACCTTAAGTGACTAAGCCCTGTAAATTCTCTTTCGACCAATTTACAGGGTTTCTGAATAGCTTTAGCATTCAAGAGAGACATGGAGAGCCCAGACTTGGATACAATAAGGTTAACTGTTTTCCCAATAAGAGGATGTGTGTTCCTGAATATCTGAGCAGAGTCACCGCCCTGTCTTTTTTATAAGCTCTTGCAAGGTGACAGTGGCATGAGGAAAGGCAGTGTAGTGCTTTATCCACATTCTGCAAACTGTTTCATCATACTAAGGAATTGTTAGTGTAGTCGTGTATTGAGTTGGTATTCCTTTGTCGGATGCAGGCAAAGAGATGTGTCAAGAGTGTTTCCTTTCCTGCATACATGTCAACATAAATAAGTCACATTTCTCCTCCAGACATACTTCCACTTCCCCTTGTCACCTGTTTCTATGATTTTCAGCACTGCAGCATCTCTACATACCTTTCGATTTGTTCCCAGATTGTCTTTGTTGCTTTGCGCCATTGCTTTCGAGCCTCTGATTTAGGTTTTAAAAAGTTGTTTTGCAACCTAAAATAACTCCATGATAATTTATGATTTCACACGGGATGCAAACTGAGATCTCATGGGTCAAAGTCCTGTTTGTTTGAATCATCCATTACATCCATACCTATGACTATTTATACCACATCTCATGACTTCCGGAGAACTGGCTCTAGGCGTCTTCTGATGCAGCAGATGGTTTTATATAGTCATCACCTGAAAGCCTTTGGGATTTTAGCCTTTGCAGAACATTTACATGCACAAACACCTATTTAACACACTACAGGATAGGGAAAACCTCTAAAAGCATTAAATGATCTCTTTAAGAGTGCCTTGTGATTCGGTATCAGTCACTGAAGGCTGTAAAAAAAAAGTACGTATTTGACACCCCGGGAATAAGACAGGGCTTCTATTTCAGCTGTATTTTGCTCAACAACAAATGCTAGCTAACTGTATAGTGATACATGAAGTATATTTATTTAGTCGTACATGACAAAACCAAAAAATGGAGCACAGAAGTGGGCCACACTGCAGGAGTGGGTTGAGAATTATCTTCACCAATTCAAACTGTATATCCAAGCTGCAATATTCCCCAAAGCAGCGATCTCCAAACTTTACAGAACCGTCTCCCAAACCTTTAGGGGGGGATTTCTAAGTAGAGCATTCCTTTACTTAACTCAGCATTATATAGTGTGTATGTAAGAGTGTGTTAGTATGATATAGGTCAGAGTATCTTTTATCTGCTGCTTTCTTTGTTTGCTTTCTCTACATCAGGAGACGCCCTCAGTTTTGGATAAAACAGGGGAGAAGCAGCTGGACACAGTCACACAAACACACAGACACACAGATGCTACAAATAACACAAGCGTAGGCCTGTTTCCAAATGTGTAATCTGTGCACACACCTCGAGTCAGAGGATGAATCTGTTGCCTGCGGCAGCTGTGTGCCACCGATCTGGATTAAGATACTGTGTCTGCAGACAAAAGGAGTCACCTCCTCAGTGTGGGGAAGCCATCTAGAGATAAGAGAGATCTCGTCACCTCCGTGGTATTAACAACCCCCCACTGCTACAGGGCTCACATTTAATGAGAAATAAATAAAGCACAGGATATCCATGCATGTGCTGCAAGATGTTAAAAGATGCAGGTTGTCCTTTTGCACAGCACATATCACTCTAGCTATCACATATGATACTCACTCATCATATATACATTCCTCCCTCAGTTGAAGTATCGCTGTTTCTGGAGATCAGTGTGAATAAATAATGCACTCTGCTCAGACGCGGCACGACTGCTGAACACACACGCTTTTTTTCACCAGCAGCATGCATCACTTGAGGAAAGCATTCATTAATATTACAGCATCACTTACACCCCATTTTTTTTGTTCATCCGGAGAATGACACTCTTACATTGGGATGGACACAACACGTCTCGGACTCTTTCTCTTCTGTTGACATTCGTCCCTCAGGACACAGCAAAACCCTCACTGATGCCCCGGCGTTTTACGCTGCGTGCCTGCACACTCACAACTTGAGCATCAAGTTCACCCCCCTCACGCTGTGTTCACCTTCATGAACCTGAATGTCAGCATTAAATTACAGCATGCAAAAATGCGAGTTTTCTCACCTGTATGTATGTGTGCAGTCTTCTGTCCTGGGTGTGGGTGTGTGAAGCGCAGAGATGAAACTTCTGTCTCACCAGCGCTGTAGAAAAAACCCTCCCCTACTCTTCCTCTCTACTCCCACCCTCCTCACTCACTCTCCTTGCTCTTTTTTTCCCTTCACTCGCTGTTTTTTCTCCATCTGCCTCTTTCTCCCTCCTTCAGTGTGTTCCTTCAACCTGCTGCTGTCTTTAAAGCTGAGTTAACCAACCCCCCCCCCCACACACACACACACACACACACACACACAATATAAATGCTAAGAGGGGGTTGTGATCTGATGAGGTCTTGGAGGTGCAATGCGTACCACTGCAGTGGGGCTACTGGTGAGATGCTCTGTTAAATCAGATTTGTGTGTGTGTGTGTGTGTGTGTGTGTGTGTGTGTAGTCGTGTTTGCCAGTGTGTGTACATGTGTTTGTGTGTTCACAGATAAATAGGAGGGGAGGAGCCGCCGTGCCATAATGACTGCTGGGCTTCGCTATGTGGCGACAGCGCTGCCAACTTCCTCCCTCCTGCTCATTGTTGGGAGTCATTATCTCACCTTTGGGAGGAAGGGGGAAGGGGGGGTGGAGGCAGAGAGAGAATACATGTAATGCTCTCAAATTGAAATTCATCCTACCCCTTCTCCCTCTGTAATCTCATTCAGATTCCACAGTCTGTTGCTCGCTCATATTTAAATGAGCACTTGACTAAATCCCTCCTGTGCTTTTGCTTTTCTTGGCTGACGCTTGGCAAGCTGCCGCGCTCTGTTGCATCCTGGACGCTTCTCGGCAAACTGGCACGCTCTTTGTTTTTTGGCTAACATGCAGAAATATAATTTAAAAGAGTGGGAAGCACAGTCGTGCAATGAGGCTAAACAGGTCTAATGGGCAGGCCGGCAACATGCGTCTGCTCTGACCGGGAGGAAGGTTAATGAAGCATGGAGTCATCAAAAGGTCAGGGACATGTCCACACTGACAGAAGGATCTGTTTACTCCTCTAGGATATTCTAGTGAGTTTGTTACCAAAAAAACACAAGAAAGTTAGTGGTGACTGCCAACAACCAAATGAAACATTTAACCAAGAGCTGGTGTCAGCTTACACAATGAATTGCTTGTATTATGGATTTCCTTTTGTTCATGGAACTTTGGAGTTGCTTTTATTTTTAGAGACTTTCTTGAAGAGGACATATTATGCAATTGTTTAAGTTTATATATGTATTTTGTGCCTCTACTGTGACATGTTTACATGCTTTAATTTAGTTTTTAAAGTTTATTTTTCTCATACTGCCTGTGCTGCAGCACCTCTATTCACCCTCCGTCTGAAATCAGAGCCCAGTCTGCTCTGATTGGTTAACTGGCCGGCTCTGTTGTGATTGGTCAACTGCTTAGAGATGTCCCGCCCTTTCGCCCCTTATGAAGTGCCATGTGTTGGAGCGCTAGCCAATAGAAGTGCAAGTATTGCATAGTGATGTCAATATGTGACAGAAGTTAACAAAGGAGTCCAATGGTGGCGTTTCAGGCAACAAGTCCAAACGGGACAGTTAAAACTCTCTATCTGTATTCAAGTAAAACAGTTGGGTGACATTGAAGAACCACAGAATCGGTTTTGGTTTCTTTTAACGTCAAGAATGTAGTCATTTCAACTCAAACCAGATTTTTTTTAAACTGTAACCCTAACCCTAACCCTACCCCTACCCCAACCCCAAACCATAATCTTTTCCATCCACTTTGAAGTCTTGACGCGCTAAATCTAACCAAACCTTGATCATATCATTGTCCTATCATACATACATTTATTTTTGAAGCAGTTGGCGAGCAGAGAAGAAATACACAGTTTCTATCTTTGTCAGATGAATCCCAACAATTTTGCAATACAGAATTTCTCAAAATGATATTTGGTTAGTTTATGCGACCTATGTCAATTTGGGTCACGTTATTTGTGTGTGAACACACCATTAGTAATGATTTAAGATGGAGTGTAAAACAAGATCGAGACGTCTGTCTGAATGACAAAGTGAAACAAATTTGTATTTTAGGTTCATATTTCACATTTCATATGCAAATAAACATTTGTAGGCTTGGCTTAAATTGCAAAAGGCATCTAGCACTGACTTTGAAGGAACTAAACTAACCACATGTATGTTGACTACAACATGTGTGCGGCTATCATGATGGTTCTTGGCAGATAGGTTATGTGTTTGACAAACTCTACATCCCTCCCCCCGTTTAGAATATAGGGCAGGAGCTGAATCATCTCCCATTTCCCTTTATTGACGTCTCTTTCTGGGCTCTCTACCCTGCCATCTGCCACCTTCAGCAGGTGTTTCTCCTCCTGCACCATGAGCCCCGCACATACAAGACAGAATCAGCTAATGACCCGCCCCAGCTATCAGTTAATGATGGAAAAAGGCTTCAAATTGTTCCCAATGTCCCCCTCATTTTCTCTTTTACCTCTTGCCTTCCCCCTGTCATCTCTTCCCTGCCTGTCAGTCTGTTACTGGCCTTCTCCATGACTCTTCATGGTCCAAACATTCGGGATTAGCCAATTAGTGAGAGGGGGAGCAGATAGATGCTCACCGCCAATGGCTTTCTCTCTCGTTCTGTGAGTACGGGAAATAGAGGGAGCTTATGTTTCTGTTGCTCTTTGTGAGTGAATGTCAGACCGTCTTCACCGGCGTTAATTAGTGAAAAAAGCATCTGCTTCAAATGCAGCTGTGAGTCCAAAAACCTTTGAAATGTCATCTCTCGGAATAAACATTTTAATAGTAGAGACTGTGGAAACAGAACAAAAGGCAGATATGGAATATTTCATCATAAACCTAAAAGGCTGGGTGGGATTTTTTTATTTGATTTCCCCCTGTCTGAGAATTAAGACTTGTCTTCAGATTGAAGGTGACGCGGTGCGTAGGCAGCTCCAGGCAACCTTGTTAATAACAAAGCATCATCTCATCTGTGGAAATAAGGATACGCGATAAGCCTGCAACATGACATCTTCCTTCTCCCTGACATTATGTTGTATTACTGCTCAGAGAGACCCAGATGGATGGGGGGAGAGATAGATGGAAGCATGCACGAGGTGAGAATTGATAGGGGAGACGACTAGAGCAGATAGGGAAATGTACTATAGTCCCAATCCTTGTAGAGTTTTTTCTAAAAACAAGCTAATTTACAAAAATCATATTTTAACATGCACTTGGGTCCCCTCCCACTTCCTTAACAAAGCGACATTACAATGTAACAGTCACACTTCTATTAGCTAGCGCTCCAACACATTGTACGTTAGAGGCTAAGGGGCGGGACGTCTGAGCGGTCGACCAATCACAACGGAGTCGGCCAGATAACCAATCGGAGCAGACTGGGCTCTAGTTTCTGACAGAAGGTGCTGCAGCCAGTATGAGAAAAATAAAGACCTTAAAGACAGGCCTTGTTCTACCTTTAGAAAGGCAGTAGGTGAACAGGGGAGACTTCGCTTAAACAGAAGTGTATCTATTTATGTAAAAAACACACAAGAAAAATGGCACTTTCTCTCTAGGAGGCCAAACTGCATGTGCTCAAGAACCTTTTGAGATCTACCTGTGGTATTTTTGTTTTAATGCCACTGAGATAGTAGCTACTTAACTGTCAATTCCAATTTTTCACTAGGAAGTTTTAGAATAGTCCTTCTAGCCGGCCAACGTTAGCACTGATACCCACTGATGACGTGGTTGATCTTTTAGAATCCAAATAACAAAGTGATTCTAGAGTGTAATACATAATAGGTTAACTAAACATAAAACACATTACAGCAAACCAAGGGCTGTTTTAACGGAAAACACACTGACATATTTAAAAAAAGTGCTTTCTTATATACCCAATTCAATTCCTCCTATTGTGTAGTTGTATGCCTTAATCCCTTGTATCTCAATGTATGCGAGAGCTTATTTCTTTTTCTTTGGAACTGTTTTCTTATACTCTTTAGTAGCTATTATTGTGACCTAAGCACTCCTCATTCTCCTCCTACATTCCTGCATACTGGCAATCCTTCAACACCATTATTCCTGGATGTCCTTGGTACATATAATATGAGGCCGGTGGCATTTAATTAACACTGATATTTACTGTTTCATGATCATTGAAACAGTCAGATTGGTGCTGTAGTGTCTTGTAGCACTCATTACACTGAAAACTGAGGAGTTACTAATGGACTCACAGAGTAATGTACAGAATTCTTAGAGCCAAGAATATGTACATTTGTTTCTAGGCAAATAATGAAGTGTTTGAATGCATATAATACAGTATGATGCTTACAGGCTTTCCCTCAGCCTAGTTTTATGTCTCTGTGCAAATACGGGTATAAGTTGATAAGTAAATGATTGAGTATCGTTCCACAGCAGTGATGTAACAGGCTGCTTTCATTAAAGGATCCCGATTTCCCTCTGGTTAATTATTCATCACAGCAATCCACGAGCGCTCAGTGTCTTCAGACTCCATCTCAACCTCTGTGGAGGGAAGTCGTGCCTTCCACTTTCCTGATTTCTTTAAAAATATTTTAATATATTTAGGTAGCATTGAGTTGCTTCTGATCTGCTGAGATTTTGCTTATGTTCCTCTATCTATATATCCATCTAGAATATTTTTAATATCTGGAATTGCTTTTTTTCACATCTTAGATTCATATCTTTTTTCCCTCGTCATACCCCATACAACTCTTCATTGTGTTTGCATACTAACCAGTTGCATTTCTGCAGTAATGAATCATGCACCTGTCATATATATTAAAAAAATTCAATTAGGAAAAGATCAAGCCTTAAGAATAACCTCGCTGCAGAGAAAAATTCTGGTCTTCAGTTTATCTTCCGCGGCAGAATGTGTTGTTGGAAAATGAATATCCCGGGTTCTTCGGGGTTGTTGTTAACATCAAGGTCTTCAGAGATTATTGCTGCAGGTTGCAAGGGGCTCAGTCACTGTGGGGCTGCCCTAGTTTCATCATTAGGTCTGTTTTTATGGAGCGGGACAAACTAAATATAGCTGCACAGTGGGCTCACACAGCAGAAAGAACAACCAGCCCTTGTTGTTGTTGATGGTGATAAACGCCGAAAACGCTGGGATGTAGATGAGTCAGAAAGACTGATTTCCTCAACTCCAAGTTACTTGCAAAGAATTTGTCTCAGACATATTGTTGATGTCTTTGTATTATTGAGCCCTCTGCCCACTTG